TTTTTAAAAAAAGCCCTTTGAACTGTGGGCAGGTTAAGACTTGTAACGTTCGTCTCTTTCCTTTCCATGCATTTTTTTTTTTTTTTTTTTTTTTTTTTTTTTTTTGTCTTTTTCCGTGTCCGGCAACGGATCGCAACCCTCAGTGTTGCCCCCGTACCGGACCGGGGACCGGCAACGGGATCTCAACCCTTGGCGTTGCTCCCGCGCCTCGCTCAGCCAGTGAGCGGGAACCGGTCCGTATGTGGGATCCGAACCCTCGGGCGGGAGCGCCGCCGCGCTTCCCAGGCGCACTATCCAGTGCACCACCGGGCCGGCCCTCCATGCATTTTTCTTATACAGTTGTTCTGTTTCCTGCAAAAGGGTCTCTTTAACCTGCTGCCCCTATGGCTTTGCAGCAAGCAGCTGGCTCTTGTTTATGCAGCACCACTTTCTGTGGCCTCATTGCTAAAGACGGAGGTAGACTGGGGACAAGGACAAAAAGAGTGTTTAGATCTGAGAGCTACAAAAGGGAAAAAAAGGAACTAGATAAGGATATTGGAGAAAAACTTTCGAAGTCTAAACATATAATACTTTACAGAGGTTGCCCTGCCCCTTTCTCACAAGTGCATTAGATACCACTTACACTCGAGTTATGCATTTAACCTCTAATCTTAGAACTTGAAGAAGCCCCCAGAGTTTCCAAGTTTGAAGTAATCTTTTGTTTCTCTTCAAAACATCCACAACAAATCAAATGTACTACTTGCGTGGTTTTCCCATTAGCCACGGTATAGCTAATCTGTGGGATTCTAGCTGTTCTCTTCCTCCCTCGGTTCACACAGCTGGCTTCTGCCTTTGCCTTGTCAGCCCGGAGAACACATGTCATGTGCACGCATGCCCTCACTCCTACCTCCTGTCCTCCCATTTCTTCTCAAATTATGCACTGTCTCGCATAATCGCATAAATGCACTGTGCTCTGAATTCTCTGACCTGTGACTTCTCCTTCAAGAATTCCTGAGGATTTGAAAGAGAGTGTTTTAAACATCTGGGAGATTACACACCTACCAGCAATTCCATAGTTTTCACCAAGTTCACACCTCATTCTCTAAATGGGCCTCTTAAGCTGATGGCTACAAATGCTGAGGAAATCTGTATACTTCTTTTGGATTTCCAAACCTGGCCTTTATATTCTCTAGTTACAGGGAAGTGTCTCTATCTAGATCCATCCATTTGATTTCTTGTAATTGCGCATTGTTCCTGCATGTGCATCTCTACCCCTTCTTTGATGAGAATAATAGAGACTGTGCCTTATAACACATGCTGGTTTTTCATGTGGGAATTAGTTCCATATGACTTCCAGGAAACAGTTTGAAATGTGAATTCCACTTGTTATTCTGAATGTAGTTCTTTCTCTTTCCTCAGGCATTCCAGTATCTCTCAAAGGCGTACAAGTGTGACATACAGTCCGGTTGTTGGGAGAAAGATATTACATCATTTAAGGAAGTTGTTCAAAGAGCCCTAGGACTTGCACATGGTAATTGATAGAACATTTGATATCCGTGGCATACTTTAATGTACTTTTTACTGATGAAAAAGAGTGTTAGTCAAAAGCAAAGTTCCAATACAAATAATTTCAAATTATTTCATTATATTGAAATTGTGTTTAATTCAGCAAACATTTATAGATCAACTACTATGTGTAGGCACTTTGGAGCAATAAGAAGAAATAGGATAGAGGCTTAAATACTGTTTGAATAAGTGACAGGAATTAGAAACTTCTTTAGAGATGTGAAATACCTTTACAACTGTATATAACCTTCACTCACACAGAGTCTGTTTGTGTTGATTATGTAGTATTAAGGAAATCTGTTAATTTTTCCTTGACTCATATTCTTCTTTAATGAATAAAAATATTTATTTATAAAAATACATAGATTTCTGGAGTATATAGCAATATACAAAGAGCTATGGCATATACAAAAGAAATATAAAATAGAATGTAATCCTTGTCTTTGGGAAACTTAAAGGGTGTTATTTGAGGGGAGGAGGTAACCGTACATATAAAATTATATACCTGTTGGGTAAATATAGTCTAGATAAAGACTGCTTTTAATTATTGCATTAATGAAAAGTACATCAGTTAAAGTAAGTAATGCATTTTTATACCAATATTTGAATATGGGTGTGTGATGCCCTTGGGAATGTAGTTTCAATAAAGTAATGGAACCCCATTGTTAAGAGCTGAATCACAAGGACTGTGAGCCTATCCTAAAATCCTCCCCCTACTTCTCTTCTTCCTGCCACTAATAGTGACAGCAAGTAGGGGCCAACAGAAAACAATGAAAAGGGCAGAGCTTTGGAATCAGGGAGGCATAAGCTCCAGGACCAGCTCTACCACATGCTTGCTAGGTGACTTTAGGTAAAATTACTTAACTTCTCTGAGCCTTAGTTTTCTCATCGGTCAAATGGGGTTAATACCTACCTATGGTTCTTAATCAACAAAATCGTTTAAACACTTAGCAGTATTTTACACGTGGTTTAAATGTTAATCCCTTACCCTCCCACCCCCTTCCTGTTCTTTCTGAAGTAGAAGATCTGGGCTATATAATAAAGGAAGGGGCTCAAAACTAAAAAAAGAAAAATGAAGAACAAGGATAAAGTTTCACCTGCCTATAAAGAAGTCACAGAACGTTCAAACCATTTAGAAATGAGCTTGGTAGTTAATAATTCTACTATGGCCTTTGATATCTTTGACCAAAAAGGTATAAATATCAAATTTCTTGGGCCACCTAGCCCTGGGCAGATAAGGTAGAAGCACTGAACTCTGTACAGCTGAAATGCAGTGTAGAAAAGTTTGAAGTAATCGCTAATAGATCAGTGGAAGAGTGTTTTAGGGGTCGCTGGAATTCATGTGGCTTAGAAGAATTTATCTTATCTACTTCAACTTGCCAACTCTAAACATTTCTGTGAACCACTGGGTTTATAACAAAGCCATGATATTTTCTGTAATCACCAAGTGATGGTATTAAACCTGTCAAAAATAAATATGCAGGTTACAGAATACACTCCAGGGAAAATAATCTTCATTTTGCATCTTAAAGTGGCTTTTAAACTATTGTTGGCACCATTTTTTTTCATCAGGGCAATGAGAATCACAGGTGTCTATTCTTTTAAGTTCTCCCTTGACTTTAACGAATTACGTGTTGGTGCTCCTACAACATTCTAAGCATATTTGAGTGGATACTTAGCTTTAGTTTCTAATGATATTTTAGATTTATAAAGATAAATCTTAACCTTTGTTGATTTTCTATACAGTGCTCAATCAAAGAGTGAGCTGGGTTTCTCTGTGATTCTATTCTCTCTCTAGTCTTTCTCCCCAGTACTATTCCTCCACCCCACCCAATTTTAAAAAGGGAAAAATTTTTTTTGTTTTAATCTCCAATGGTTTACTCCTTGGGTTGCTACTGTTAAGAGTAGCCATGTAGGTCAGAAAGCTGATAAGACATTGCAATCCAGACATAGCATTAGAGACCTATCTATAACAGTGTTGTCACTGTGTGCCCGTTTGTATTGTCTGGAGAGTATTTATTTAGTTTCTGCTGTTTTATACTCTGGTGAAGGGTGGGCTGAAGGTCACTTGTTCTTTGCCATCCCAAAACTAAATAATAGTTATGCACTTTAACTACAGACTACGAACAAGGCACTGCTCTTTTGGATTTTCTGATGATTTGAAACAGAAGGTTATTTCTCTCTATATACCTCTATTTTTAACTCAATCTATAATGCCTTTTGGAAATGGGATTGAGGAGGGAAATTGATAAGAGTGTGTTTGTCTTTTTTGCTCTATTTTTATTTTTCTCAGAATGAATATAAAGAAATAAAATAAGAATCAACATTTTTCTGATATAAACTACTAGGTATTAAACAGCTCAAACACCTCTGTCATGGCAGTTAACAATTTTTCTCTACTAAGAGAAACAGACATCATAATCTTCACTATCTCTGGGTTAATTTATGCCCTTTGAAAATGGGATTAACATTGCTAATTACCATGCATCCTTTCAACCCTTAGCTGAGAAATGTCAAAGTATAATTATTATTCTGAAATAGGAATGAAAACACCTAGTTCTTGCTGGCCAGGGAAGATATTAATTAATGAAAAAACTATTCTGCCAGGCATAGGCATCCTCTATCAATTGATTAGAGTTTGCATGCAAAAAGAAATCTATTTTCCATCCCTGGTCTACAATCTAGGGTATGAAGTAGACTTTAATCCCTGCACTGTTTAGTGTAGTTTTAAAGTAAGATTTGGTTATTGGTCTGTCTGAATTTAGTGAGCATGATTTAGGGGAACAAAAACAAGTACAAATCGGTGGAGAAATATCAGGTGTTATGTTTGTACAGAGCTCTTCACTTGTTCTTGTAAAGCATTAATAGCTGGGTCTTCTGCTGGGGAGGAGTATGCCCCCTTCATAATTTCAAGTTTTAGGAAAATGGTTTCCCAGAATGCTGGAGGCAGAGTTGTCATGGATGAATGACTTCACTCTTCCTCCTTTCCTGCTGATGCCGAGCATGGCTCAGGAACCCAAGAACCTGTGATCACATTGCCTAAATGAAAACACATAGATCGTTGGTATCAGCTGTTCCAGAATGGTGCTGTAAACCCTGAGTCTGGAAATGCAGTAGGAATTGAGCTGTACATATTTGGCATGCCACTTCCTGGGCTAATGTCATCAGAAATTGTGAACTCCCTACGGGCCGAGCCCGTGGCACACTCGGGAGAGTGTGGTGCTGGGAGCGCAGCAGTGCTCCCGCCGCGGGTTCGGATCCTATATAGGGATGGCCGGTGCGCTCACGGGCTGAGCGTGGTGCGGCCAGTCTCAAAAAGGACAAAAAAAAAAATTGTGAACTCCCTATTAGGGACCCGTTACCATGGAAAGCCACACTAAGATGGGTTGCATCTGTTTCTGTCCTCTCTGCGTACCTCGTTTTCAATAAGATTTTGTCTGCTTGCCTAATTTTCATTAGTCTGTGTGTATGTGTGTGCACAAACACACAGTGTGGAGGTGTTTAGGATCTCTTCCCAATGATCTGTAAGTCGTCAAAAATCACCTATTTTCCTCAAAATTCCCTTTAGCAGTAAATTATCTTGCTTAAAAAAGGATAAAGAGAAGAGTTATGCACATAATTATTATCCTTTTTCAAAAATAGAAACTTTCCAGGTAGAAATATTTCTAAAGTCTGTTACTACAGAATTCTAATTAAATTATTCAGTTTTGTACTTGTCAATTATCGTTATCAATTTTTAACGGATGTCCCCCACCCCCCACCCCCATTTATCTTCCAGTGGCTATAAAATGCAGTAAAAACAAGTCCAGTCCCCAAGAAGCTGTGCAAGTTCTTTCTTCAGTTCGACTCAATTTACGAGGCTTGTTATCGAAAGCAAAGGTGAGAGTGACGTGTGAATTAATTAGAATTGTCATATAAAGAAAGGTCGTTAGTATCAGTTTACCACCCTTAAGTCTTTACATCAGGGATAATTTTAGGCCTTTGTTATATCTTAGACAACAGCCTGCAGGTGATTCGTTGTGTTGGTGAGAATATTGTTGGTCCAATGGCTAAACCACCCTAAACGTTAGCAACTTAGGAGTCTTTGAAATTAATGTTCACGATCCAGCCCTTAATGCCTTCTTTCAATTAAACAAAAACAATGCTCTTTTATTTATTATCACTTTTCCCAAAGTGTGACATATATGCTACTGGTGGCACTTGGGTAAATTTTTTATTTTAATATATATTTATTTCAGTGCATATTAGAAAAAAGTGTAACTAGCATATCAGATCTATGACTTCATGAATATTATTGCTCATTTTTCATTTACAGTAGTGATGTAATGTTTCCTTTAAAAAAGACTTTTATTTAAGTAAAGAAAAAATTGATTTAGATAAAAATACTACGTAGGTGGTATATGTGTTTGACCAAAAAATCGTTAACTGAAATATCTCGTTAGTTTACAAATACCAACCTGTGAACCAAAGGTGGGGATGGGGATGCCTAAGAGTCACCTAGGGAGCTTTTCTGAAGACTAGATTCTTTATCTGTGACAGATACAGATTCAGGTCTGGGGTGGAGCCCGGGAAATCTGTTAAATTTCCTAGGTGACTCTAACATGTAGCCGGGTTTGGATTATACCTCTGGAAGCAAAATTTAAGGGAATATGACTTTGAGCATAACTTAGTAGTTTTTTTCCTAATCTTTACCTGGTGTCACTATTTAATTTTGGGTTGCAAACTAATTTTGACTCACTTCTGAGAGCAAGTCTGTGCACATTTTTACTCTGTAAAACATTTCCAGAGTATGTCTTTTTATTAATTGCTCAATCTTTTCAGGTCAAGGCATCATTTTTGCCCCTTTATATAATTACCTTACATTACTATTTCTATCTGCATGCTTCACAGGAGAACTGTATTTTCTCTCAGGTTGGCAGCAAACTTCAGAATTATGTTTCTCTCAGAAATCTGCAAGAACTTTTCTAAAGTCAGAGCTGCAAGAGAGTATGGTGCTGATAACACCAAGGTCCAGAGTTTGATCCCTGTACCAGCCAGGTGTTTTCTCTACTGATCACATTGCAACAGTTCTTATGTCATTCTCTTAAGAAATGCTGTACAATCATCTAGTCAAGTCTGATGAAAGATATTGGCAAGCTAAATAAAGTATATTTCTGATTAAAACAAACAAACATGCACACACACACACAAAACGTGGTCATAAAATCCTCAAGCTGATATTCTTGGGTACCTTTATTGGCTCAGCAGGTGGTTCCCGGAGAGGCATTTCAAAACATTTTCAGCTATGGTAGCATTATTGAAGTATGTTGCAATAAACCTCCCAAGGCAATTCTCTTCCTAGGGAGAGGGTACATTTATTTTTATTTTATTTTTGCTGGGCTTCTTTGCTTTTACCAAATCTTGATAATCTTTGTGGTCTCTGAGGCCTAAACCAAAATTAATTTTCAAATAAGTAGCATAAAGGGTATGATTTATATGAATTTGGATATAAAATATATTTGTTTTGGTTGCATACACAATAAATATATTTGTTTTGCTTAGTTGAATAATATCTGTTCATCCAAAAATCATCCTAAACATTGAAATGAATAACCATTATTTAGGCAACCACTTTGAAGAACAGAGCTCATTTGAATTTCTAAGTTCAGGCATGTTGTTTTGATTCATTATGTAATTATTGCAGCTTGTACATTTCCAAGATGGTGAGTAGAACAGATATTACCATTGCTACTATAATGTTATGGTATTATTATGCAAATTGCATTTTAATTCTATACTCTATATCTACTTTATTTTAAAGAAATTTTCATTGTTTTGATAGTTCTGCTTTGTTTTTTACATTGCAGCAACTTTTTACAGATGTGGCAAGTGGAGACATTTCCAGGGAGTTAGCTGATGAAATAGCAGCTATGGACGCCTTAGTAATGGAGCTCCAAGACCTAAGCAACCGATTTCGAAATCAGTATTGACTGTGTTGGGAGAAGTTTCTGGAAAAGGTGCTTTTACCTTCTGGAATTTCTCTTCTACCTGAATATCTGAAATATGAGATATTGATTTCTTAAAATAAATTTCTGTTTTATGGCTAACCTTCTTGTTTTTGTGATATTATCAAATGCTTGTGCTTTTTGAAGTATATTAAATAAAAAGTTCCCTATTTCTTTAGGCTTAGTTACAGTTGAATTCAGCATTTTTATTATTCTTGAGGTTTTTGGCACAAAGACTAAATAAATTAGTTTTCTTTTTAGTATAGGATTTATTCCCTCATAGCCTAACATGAATTGGATCATTTCTTGGAAAACCTTGGTCTAAACAGGAAAAAAAAAAAAAATCATATACTACAACTTTGTGGAATTATTAGGTTGGCTGCTTTATTATCCAAAAGTGATAAAAGAGTGGATTTGGCAATGGAAACGTTTACACTTAAGATTTTTTGTGTTTGTGTCAGAAAGATACAGCCTTCTCTGAATTCTGAATTGGAAATATGAACATGGTTTAACTTCTAAATCAAGAAAGTGCAAGAAAAAAATGACATAACCCAAATTTTGACTCAACGATTAGCCACTAGTAACCAAGCTTTACCTCCTCATTGTGTATACTGCCAGCCCTAAAGATGGTTGCTTAAGAAGGCCGTTATGGGTGAAGATAGCTATAGATGGGTGAAGATTTACAAAAATGGCAAAGTAAAATGCTTTCTTAGTAACGTCTGTGAAACCAATATTGAAGGCAGCAGCTGAGCTTAATAATCTCAGTACAAAAGTCATAGTGAAGAATTCTAAGTCCTGGCATTTGTTGCTGAATTTTTGGGTTCCATGCATAAATCACTTGACCCTTGTTTTTCTTCCATGTTCTTATTTATAAGATATGAATAATTTCTACTCCTAGCTTCTTTGTGAGTTTAAACTGCCTTTGGAAATTTCAAAATTCATAAAGTATTCTGAACATTAAAAAACACTAAAAAGTTCTTACATCAATGGATTTTGGTTATGAATGCTTATCAGTTCTAAATGTTCTTTTTCCTTAACCACCTGCTTCTCTTTTCTGTTGTCATACTAGCCTAAAAAACATGTCAATGTATGCCCCAAAGCAGTTTCTCTTACAGAAGAGACAATACCTGTGAGAAAGACCAGTAAAATGTGGTAGCAGCATGAGTTAACATTATGGATCAACTTAAATCTTTTATGGAAGCCATTGAGGAATGGCTTCTATAAATGGATGATGGATGGATGGGTGGGTGGATTGTTGAATGGATGGGTAAAGTAAGGTTTTAAGATGACCTTTATCGGTTTTGAGCTGTGAACCCAAATAGGAAACAAAAGAAATACTGAAAAGGCCATGGATTTAAGTAATCAAGTGGAAGACTGAAGTAGAGCTTCAAAGTTTTAGAAGTTTTTAGTTCTCAATTTGCTTTCCTTTGGGTTCAAGATAGAAAGGCATCAGTGATTGTGGGCAGTCACAAACCAAGTCACAAAAGGGTTATCTCCTTCTAGTCCTATTCTCCAGTGCTATGCTGGACCAAAATCTACAGGATGCTGCCTTGTATCCTCTGTTATCTTGCAAGGATTTCACAAAAGAGAGAGGTATTAGATGTCTTTTTTAGAAGACATAGATGTGCTCCACAAACGATTAAATTTAAAAATAAAAAAAAGACATTGACCTATTGGTTATATTTAATAATGTTATGTGAATGTTTAACATAATTGAAGAAAATGTATGGGGAGGAAAGTAAGAAAAGCTTGGGGTTTTAAAAATGAAACTTCATCTTCCCCACCTGCTAACACTTACTGTTTAACACTTAGCGATTTGATTTCTTCACCTGTAAAATGGGTATGGTGATAATGGTATCTTCCAGGAAATTATTCCTATGTCTTATGGCACTTTGACCCAGCTTTGGAGTTAGTAACACAGGATCTGTTTAAACAGCTATGTATCATTTACTGTAGGGTCTTTGGTGCTTTGTATTGATATGCTATGGTTAAATATCTTTTATAAGTTTCAACTTTGGTTTTCTAGTATTAATGCTTTTGTTTTCAGAATTATTCTTTTGCTTTGTCAACTACAAAACTAGAAAAGATGTGATCCTTTAATTTTTATTAAGTTCCCGCAGTATGAATAATAATACCTACAAGTGACTGAGTTCTCACTATGTGCCAGGCATTTTACATAGCATCATCTTTCACCCTCAAAAAAGCCCTGCTAGGGCCGGTGTGGCTCACTCGGGAGAGTGTGGTGCTGATAACACCAAGGCCACAGGTTCAGATCCCATATAGGGATGGCCAGTTCGCTCACTGGCTGAGTGTGGTGCTGAAAACACCAAGACAAGGGTTAAGATCCCCTTACCAGTCATCTGTTAGGAAAAAGAAAAAAAAAAAAAAACAAACCCTGCTAGGTCAGTTTGTTAGATCAATAAGAAGGGTCACAAACTCTAGAAAGAGAAACAGCCAGGATTCCAAGACTGTTAAAAGCTGCATTTTTTCTCCTTCCTATGCTGAAGCTTCTAAGGGTCAGCTGATTTCAGCCTTCTTCTTTCTATCAGTGGGATACTTGGACAGTTTGACTGTCATCATTTATAAAGTTCTCCAAGAGAAATTTTGTGAGGTCTCAGTTGATAATAGCCTATGGTTTACTAAAATTATTTACTCTTTTTTAAAAAATTTTAACAAATTCCTCATCACTCTTTTTCCAAAGAGGTAGCTTAGTCAATGGGGGCCCTAACTCCAGAGGAGTGAAAATAAACTGCAGTGGAATAAGGGATCCCTTCTCAACACCTGAAATCCAAACCCAAGAAGCATAGAGAGTTGGTGCTGAGTCTGGGCGGCAGAATAGAGGGTATGTTGAGGGGTGGGGAGTAGAAAGGCGGGGCTCAGAATGACAGAATCCCAGAATGGACTTTGAGGTCCCTATTTAGGGGTGGGGGGATCAGCCTTAACTCAGGCACATCCTCAGTACAGTGATGAGGACCACAAACATTGAAAGCACTGACTGGTTTAATGTGTATCAAGACTATTCTTTTCATGCCATACTTGTTTCTGTTGGATGTGCTATCAGTGTGGTATTCATAAGCAGAAATGTAAAGAAGAAATAATAACAAATATGGGTAAATCCAGCTACTTTCCAGACTTAGTCCAGCAATTATGACATAAGCAGAAGTCTGGCTAGTTTGGGCTTTTTGTGACCATTTATCCAAATTATGGAAGATCTACTAGGTTAAAACTCTGGGTGAGTCTGATGAAAAGTATGTCTTTTTTTCCATTTCTGTTTTTATAACATCCACATCAATCTAAATTTCTGTTTAGATAAGGTAACTCTACTTTACTGGCCAAGAGTGGGGAATAAAATCTGTTAAGTGGATGCAACACACTTCTTCTCTGACTGTTCATTCAACAGGCTGGATAGTGAAATGGCAAAGAGCCTTTATTCCGTTGGTGGGTGCCATGCTGTGGTAGTACAGATGGATTTTTCACAACATGCAGAAGTGCTTATAAATAGATAGGTTTCAATCAACAAGTAGCTTATTCAGGCATGTGCTCAAATATAGTAGCTGCATTCATTAGACAGACATTTCCACTAATCCCAAGACTATACTAATAAAAGAGTAATCCCTTATGGGCTAAAGGTAGTGCTGGTTTGCTTTTCACTCTTAGAGCCTTTCACAGACCAAGGCCTAATAATAATTGTAGCTGTATTTGGTTTTCGCCAACTGAACTTAAAAGCTGAGCTTATCTTGAAATTTTTTCTTTTTTTTTTTAAGTTGCAGTAGCTTAGTGAACAAAGAGGTACTTTTTACTCTGGTTATGTAGCTTGCAGCAAAGCCAATTTAAAAACCAATTGTGTGTGCATTTGTGTGTGTGTGTGTTTTCTCATTACTCCATGAAGTACTATCTTTTCACACTGGTTAATAGAAGTATTTGCTTGAGCAGACTTCTGGGTTTTTTTTCTTTGACTTTAGTATAAATAACAAGTTAATGGCCAATTTCGAGAGTACTTGCAAGCTCTTAGTATAGTGGTCTGACTTTTTACGTAGACCCTTTTTTTCCCTTGGGCTTGGCTTTGTTCAAAGGTCTTTACTCCTCCCATATTATTCAGAGCTAGCTGTAATTAGTTTGCTTAGCACAACACCAAAATTTTTCCCTTGCCAGATCTGCCTTCCTTTTTATTATTCTGACTTCTCATAAACTGCAGTGACCCGTGAGTCAACCTCACCATCTCTTGGCCCTGTGCCAACATTGTGATCTATGAAAAGGGAGTCCTGCCAAGGGCTACAAGGCGGAAAACTGATATTATTAAAGTGGTCTCCTGAACGGTAAGTATCACCCATTTTTTAATCTTTTCTGATGTTGTTGCCAAAAAGAGATGGGGGAGGTAAATCATGTTAATGTTAAGGAGCTAACCCATGCATTGCTAACTTTTTCCAGACCGAGGGCTCAAATGAACATCAGTGTCTATAGGCATACAGAAATTACTACACAATGCTGCTCACAGACAGAAACATGCTTTTTGAAGACTCAACCTCTCTGAGCCTGTTTCCTTACCTGTAGCCTGTTAGTGATCCATATCAAACAGAGGTGTTAAAACAAGATCAGTTGAGAGAATGCAGGTAAAGTGCTTTGAAAATTTAAAAAAAAAAATTTTAATAGAAAGACAATGAAAGTAATAATGTCTTAGAGGTGTTAAAACAAGATCAGTTGAGAGAATGCAGGTAAAGTGCTTTGAAAATTTAAAAAAAAAATTTTTTAATAGACAATGAAAGTAATAATGTCTTAGAAACCATTTGGTAATAAACACTGACAACCTTTTCTGTCCTCACTTGGGAGCCTATGACATTAAGTACCACTGAGCAATCTTTTCCCCATTTCTGGGCTGCAAGTGGGGATAAGGGAAGGAATAAAGGAAAAGATATGATGGATGTTTATGAAGTGAAGGAGAAAGAGAACCAAGTTCCTATCATCAGGATTTCTCAGGTTGGTGCTAGGAAAAAGAAAGAGAAATGATGGTAGAGAGGAACAAGCAAAAAAATGAAGGAAAGGCAGAATTGACTGACTAGAATGAACTCAGGATTAGAGGACCTGGATTGAAGTCCCACCTTCACCATTTCCTAGCTGTGATCACACCTGAGCCCTTGAACCTCTCTGGGCCTCAATTTCCTCAGCTATAAAATGCAAACGCCCACCCTAC